GAGAGTTAGGGCTCCGATTTGTCTATTTAATTTAAGCAATAAAGTGAGGAAAAGAGAGATTTTCTTTTGGCACTCAATGACAACTAGGGGGACAATTAGGTCATTTGCTACAACAAAATAATGTAGCCGGTAATACTAACACATCATCAGTGGCTATCATTGTTTTTTTGTATTTATCCATTTAGACCATTAGTGATAACAACTGATTGCTGCCACTAAATTGTTTTTTACCAAAAAATTAGTGATGAATTATTAATTTTTTGTTGTGACATTTAAATTGTCACAAAATAGGTTTTACTATAATACTTTTAGTAATAAAAATTATTTTTTATCACTAAAAGTGTAATTTTAATGGTAAAATTGTTAGCTGCAATTTAAATCTTACCACTAAATATCTTATTTCTTGTAGTGATAGGGCTTTGGATCTATCCTCTTCACTTCTCTCTACAATTTGTACATTTTACCACTTACTATATAGAGCAAAGCAATACAATGGCGCTTGTTGATAGCATAAAATTTTCTGAATTAATTTGCATATTTGCATGACCGAGGGTGAGAAAATTCTCGAGTCAATAAGGCTTGATGTGTTCCTTTTAGGGCCTGAAATATTCAATTTGTGAATGCTACTTGCCAGACATACATTCATATTGTCATTGATGCTAGAGAAAATGCATGGAATTAGTTCATCTTTAGTGAGACACTACAGAAGACCAATATGCCATATTTACTAGTTAGTCAGTTGAAGAAAATGCATCAAGAGAGTTGTTGATGTTTCATCCACGTTGATTCCATTCGAAGGTATAATCTGTCCTTCAAAGTGGAGTCACTGAGAATATAAATTAGTCTTATGTGGTGATTTGAGTCGTTTAGGTATTTAAGCATATTGATGATTGGAATCATTTGAGGAAGTTAAAATTGTAAACTTAGCTGGCTATTGTAAAACACCTAGTTAATTCATTATAATACATTGTATGAAGTTCCTAAAGTTGTTAAATAAACAGGCTAATGTAAGGCCCCTAATTTGATGTTGAACTTAATACATTCATAGCTTCTTAGCTCGTAACTCAATCTCCTATTGTTTTCCTTTTTTTAGCCTGGTATGACTACACAATCAACAAGGTTTAGCTGGAGCTCTAAGGAGGGTCGGGGTGATACTAGCATCTGGACAGATACCCCTTTTGAGAAAGCTCATAATGTTAAGATGAAGTATGTATGCCCTTGGATGGTTAATACACTTTACGTACTAGAATTTTGTAACTCAATTTGTTTCTAATCAATACACGTTATGTCCTAGAATTTTTTAACACAATTTGTTTCTGATCAATACACGTTATGTCATAGAATTTTTCAACTTAGTTTGTTACCTAAAAGCCTATAATGAGGCTGCAATGCTTGCTTCGACTAAAGAAGAATAGAAAAGAACAAATTCAGATGCAACACTAGTGTATCAATACAATAAAGCAAAATAGTCAAAAGCTATGGTAGAATATCACAGAGAGGTAGCTTGGAGCTACTCAAAAAAAAAAATCAAGGTAGGAGCAGGCGTAGGAACATTGGGAGGGGAACCACCCATGGAAGCCTTGGGATCGGGAGAAGGATTTGACTGCTGGATGGCAGAGCATCAAATTTGATGCTAAGAACATGACTCAAGGTCTATCTTCTAGATTTTCTTCTGGATCGTATTAGGGAAGCTTCATCTAGGCCACTGATGAAGGGGTTATTTTTATTTATGGCATCTTCCTATAGCTGATTACCTGGACGATGTTGCTTCGTTCTTTAAGGTTCCTCATTTTCTATGCAGCATTATGAAGAATCCAAATTTTTTAAGTTCATTTCTGGAGTTCTTTGTTTTGTTTTTGTTTTTTTTTAATACTTTTGTACTACCATGTCAGCCAATATAGCTGAGAAACTGATAGGCTTCTGATGTAAAGGAACTTCACCTTATGAGACAAATTTACTATGAATAAAAAATTAAAATATAAATTGTAAGATAAGTCGTTGGATCGGAACGACTTGGGCTCTTGTTGTTTTTTGTACAACTGTTCTCTGGTTTATTGTATAGATTATCATTAGAGATAGCTTATTTTTAGTTTTCGACCATTATGAATAACCAACTCTGTTAAGGGTGATGCTAAAATGACTTGTTAAACTCATTCTCTCTCTCTCTCTCTCTCTCTCTCTCTCTCTCTTTCTCTCTCTCATTATTTCTTCCCCTCATTCTTTAGTATCGTCGGGCCAAAAATGTCATCCCCTACTCCTAAGTCTCCTTGCCCTTCTGGCCAACTCCACGCTCACCTTACGAATCAATTTCTAGACTGCAACATTTTGTAGACATATTTACTAATTTATGACACTTTTGAATTTATTTATCAATCTATAGTACTTTTTAAAAAAAGGGGTCAAATTGATAAATATGTTTGCAAAAATGTCACACTCTGGTAATTGATTTCTCACCTTATAAGCTCAACAGGCCCATGAATAGGCATTTAATGTAGTAGTGATATCACTTCATTTAGACACGGGCTAGTATCCTGGTGGTTTATTGGTGAAAATGAATGATTAGTTGTTTATTCTAGCTTATCTTGTTAATCCTTGTTCATATGCATCTATTCTCAAAATTTGAAACTAAAGCACTGAACATGCTCAATTTGCATTCCCTTCCCCAATATTCTCAGAAAATCAAAGCTGCTTCAGGAAATGTTTCCAAAATTTCTAGGCACAAATTACTAATGGAGAACTTGAGGCAATCATAGTAGGAATGACTCCATTTCTCTGTGAATATTATTTTTAGATCGAGGCCTGAATTGTCCCTCTTTCAATGATTTTGGGTAAATTACTAAAGCCTTGTCCTCGAAAAGACTTGGATTCCTAACCACCTAATAAAGTTGAAGAGTGCTCATCTTCGGAATTATCCTATAGGGTTCTCTAATATCATTTCCATGATTACTGACCTTGACTTAGACTTTTTTCAAAAAATTTTGATTTTAAGTCTTCCCTGGCATGAATGGTAAGTTAAAGAGGTGCCAAAGTATTTTCCAATTGAGATGGCGAGTATCATTTGGGCCCCAATTTTGAAGATATTAGAGCGTTGTAACAATATATATATATATATAGATGGCCTTCTAATGCTTACTAAAGTTAGCAATTCATAGTTTTTAGATATAAACATCACCTTAGTATTACAATTTCTTTGCCTTTACAATATATTGAATAAATGTCAACTATTGTTATTTTAAGAAAAACTCAAGCTGCCCTCGAAGAATTAACATATAAAAAGATTATAGAAAGACAAAATCCCTCAAAGAAATGTTTTTGCATAAAAGAAGCCTCTCATATTCAAGAGCATTTAACTAACAAAAATGTGCTACAGTATAATTTCTTATTTTATAATTTTTTACTACTTTATTATTTTTTTGATTAATAATTATACATGATTTGGATATATAATTAAAGTTTTGTCACCAAAGAGACTTGGATTTTTGGCCTAACTAATGAGGTTGAAGTGTCCCTCATCGTCGGAATTATCACCTAGGATTTTCTATAATCATTTCCATGACCAATGACCTTGACTTGGACTTTGTGCAGAAGATATCCATGATTTATAGGATATCTTCTAATGATCGATAATTTATCTCAATAATCGTAATATGTCACATAATTTGATCCTTTAGTTTATTTCAATCCTTGTCAGTAAGGAATATGATTGCATATGTTTATGTTGTTCAAATGGATAAAAGTGTACCTCATGTCATGTGCAATAATTTTTAAAATTGAACACGTGTAGTCCTATATTTTTTGATCAAACACTATTACATGGAGGGAGGTGGCATGGTTTTAACTTGCGACTTTAAGGTTCAATAGCAAGGAAGGAGGCCATTTAGAGGAGGTCCATATTAAGGTCATGTCTAAATCAAATTCAAAACTCTAGACTTTTGAAGGTATGGTTTTCTTTCGTCGTAGGTCACTGTTAGGGCTGACAGTGAATCGGTGAAAAATGAGTATTCATCTAAACCTATCCCGTTTGGACTGGGAATGGATTATACGTATTAGATGATTGACGTATACAGGGATACTCGTATAAACCTGTGCAGAGATGGACTGAAATTAATCCCCGCCCCATCCCTTCCTACCCCACTAAACCTGTAGTATCTATATAATAAAGTAATTAGATTTTTAGCTTTTCGCGGCTCAGATCATTTTCAAGTTTTTGATCTGACGATTATAATTGGACTTGACTCTAACATTCCTATCTCTCATATAACTCTCTCTCTATCATATTTTTTAAACATTTTAAACACACTATCTCATCTCTTCTATCTCTCCATATATATATATACATATACTACTTAAAAATGCCAGCATAATAAGTACCATTTCAATAATATCTAAACTACATAATAAGTACCATTTCAAGTCAAGAATATATTATCACATCAATAATATCTAAACTTAATGTACTCAATCAAGTGAGTAAGTTATGAACTGTGAAATAAGGATTGTTTGCTACTAGCTATTTTCAATTATAAATGGCTAGATTGTGAATTAATGACTTAAGGATTGTGGATTGGTGTTGGGTGTGGTTCAAATACTTGAGTTAAGTGTGGATGCTTACCAATATGTGGTTGCTTAGACTATTAGACATAAACGATAGCGATATAATTGTTGAGACTCCTAGGCAAAAGAAGTAGTGATAGGACTACCGAGACTGGTGGTTGCTCATTGGGCATAAACGGTAGCGATGGGACTATCGAGACTGCTGGGTGAAAATAGTAGCGATATAATTGTCGAAACTCCTAGACAAAAACTAGTAGCGTTAACTGTTATTTATGGATTTCTGCATCTGATATGTTAAAGCAGCATGAAGTCATGCAACTCACATATACTAAAAGGGAAAAATAGGCCAATTCACACATCTTCCACAGAGTACCAGAAAAGCCCTATGAGCTCATTTTCCATTTGACGGCAAAGAACAATTGAACTTGTGAAAGTCTCATCTTTGACTAAGCTTGCGCCAACAGTAGTAAAGCTTGAATAAACCAACCAAAGCCTTCTGTTCCTTCCTTAATCGGCTCAACGGGGTTATCATAACCGAAATCAGGAATGATTTCCTGATCTGAGAACCACAGAGAGCCAATGACAGCTGGATCCTTAGGTTTAAACAAAGTGAGTAAAGCTGAGGCGTCCACTTTTAGAGTATAGAAGATTATCAGTTGAAACTTCCGCCACTTCTCCATGAGAGGCGTCCCGTTCCGTAACTTAAAACAAGATTCCAAGAAAAATAGAAAGGTGGAAAGATTCTTTTAGTAAATAGAAGAGAGCAAGTTGAGGTTCCCACTATTTGTTGGAAAACAAATTATCAAATATTGGTTAGTAGATATTGGATATTGTTATTTGGAGGTTAGGTATTGGATGTTGGATATGTAATGGAAATTTCATTTTAAATATATATGTGAGATATGATTATAATTGTTTAATGTTTATGCATTCCCTTTTAATATGTCTTGAATATACTCACTGAGGGTGTGTTTTGCTCACCCTCTCTCCCAAAATGTCATTTGTATTGAGGTTCTTGGTTAGTAGATACTCTCTTATGAATTGAATTTAGAAACACCCTCATATGAGCTTTCTAATAAGCAAAGTTTGAACCATCAAAGAAAGGACGTCATACAATTGAAGCACCTACCTTTTGAGACTCCATCGAATACTAACTAATAGTAACAAAGGATTTCTTGAAGGAAAACCTAGGTAAGTAAAAAAAAAAAAGATATGCCTACTTAGTGTTTATGATCTCAAAGCAACCACACTCTGATACCAATTGTTGTTCCAAGAGGGGGAACTTGATATAGATTTTTTCTCACGATTATATGTGTCGAGTTTAAGACGCTATACATAGAGGGGGTGAATAAATTTTTCAATTTTAGCCCAAATTGATTACCAATTAAAAACCTATATCTACCACAATTACCTCTTCTTAATCGAATGCAAAATTAATGATAAGAACCCCTTTTATACACTACAACCCATGTCACAAATGACGATTAATTTAGATTAATCTTCAATTATTTCGTTTGAAATCAATCTCATATTGATCCCAAATTTAAAACCCAATTTGCACAACTATGGTTGAATAGATGATCAAACAATCAAATCAAGCAAACACAGAGTGCACATGCATGCTAACAAATACAAGTATATACGATAAACAATAAAGAACACAAGCAATTTATTGATGCAGAAAATCCTTCTCGAAAAAAATCACAGGAAACCTACTTGGTTTACTAAAGCCTAATCCACTACTCACTAAGTCAACATACAAGCACTCGAGATTTATACCTCAACCAATACCATAGTTACATGCTTCATTCCCTGCTATGTCTCTCCGCCAAAAGTCCCTCTTTGACGTCTAGTGTAGCTTCACTTGGACCTTTCCATCGCATGGTTCGTTTAGGCCTTGAGCAATCATGGACACACTAACGATCCTCGGTATGTGCACACCAATGAGTTTATCAAATCATCAAGATCTTCAACTCTAATTTGTGAGATTGGATAGAATCTCTAATTGTAGCCTTTGGATCTTAGGGATATAGGTTATGGTAAAAGCTCTCAAGGTAGAAGTATAATTTTCTTTCTTGAAAACCTCACTAGAGGCTTAATCTAGGTGTGGAAAAGGCTCTCCCTATTTATAGGTCCGAAATAAATATAGTCTTAATAAATAAATAAACTTAGTTTCGTGAATGGCTGCTCGATCGGTGGGAGAATGGCCATGGGGCAGTTGTTACTGGAATGAAAATAGCGTTTCAAACACGACTAAGTCATGCATTGCTCGAGCGAGTATGAGACCGCTTGAGCGAGCTCAGTGTTGTCTTCTGTGACTTTTTTTTTCATTTTCTTCTCTAAGTCATAAAAAGATCGCTCTACCGAAAACTAGTGAGTATAAATCGGTCCCTACATGTTTTTAAGTTTAAAATCAAGCAAAAACTTATCTTATTAAGCACTAAAGAGCGTTGCCCAAATAGGGGTCCAATTATGACTCAAACTATATTTTCAAAAATTTAGAAACTTTTTTCTTTTAAGTTCACCTAGGAGTCATAGTTGGATTGCTTCCAATTCCATTTTCATCATAATCAACCTAAGTTTAAATTAAGTAAAAGTTCATCTTAAGTGTCTAGGTCATTACTTTGTCCCAGGTGTGAAGGTGCATGCAGAGGTTGAATGATGTTGCTTTGAAGTTTGATCTCCTTCCTTCAATGGTGCTTTTGGATATTGAACTTGATAGCATCATAACCATTAAATAGGTTGAGATTTTACAATGGACTCCATAAAATTAGCCAATTACAAATATGATCTATTAAAATCCAAAGCAGTTGTTGAGCTATAGTATATGTATGGATTCGAGTAAAAAATTATTTATATAATAGCTCTAACATCAATTAATAGGAAAGGGAAAGAAAACCTACCTTAATTATGTAGATAATTTATTCTAAAGTGATTTACACAATTTCCTATGCGTAGATCTACTGTCATTCTATCCTGATATGCTCTTTCTCCTCTTCTTTCTTCTATCTTCAATCCGCCCTAAGTTTCCATAGAGTTGGAGCATCCAAATGAGCCCTAAAACTGATCCCTTGCTATTTATATGGTAAAAAAAATAGAGCTAAACGATGTAAACTTATCGCATCAAGAATCCCATACGCGTTCGGACAGACTACTCTCTGTTCAAATACAACTAGATGCGTCTAGATGGACCCAAATCATTGCCACAAGTTTCAGAGGTTTGTCCAGATACACTTCTGTCTAGAAACTGGTGCCTTTCTACTTGAAATTGGTGCCTTTCAGAGTGTTAAAATACTAAAGTAATATTAAATTCTTTTCTATTCGAATTCTTTTTAAAATACGTTTAAGGCCTAAAATATCTCCCCCAAGATTTTTTGACACTTCGAATTTATTTTTGATGTTATTTTAACTCATCGTTTTAGAATTTCACTTAATTTATTTCTCCCAAGACTGATTACTCCAAAAATGTCAACTCACCCAAAAGTCTCAAATTACTCCTACAACATCAACTTTTGCAATGAACTGCGTAATAATAATTCAACAGCTCAATATCATAATAATCTATTATAAATTAACATAAATATATGATGTCTTACACAAGTAAACTTAGAAAATCAATGAATAATCATCAACCCTTCTAATAACAGTGATAACCAAGTCCCTTACCAAATAACAGGTTAGGGTTCCAATCTACAATGAATAATAGATTAGCTTCGACCACGACCATTGTAGATGTTCTTAACTTCATCAAAAAAAAAAAGAAGCAAAAAATTACTTTGTGCTATACTCGTAAATCATGATAAGCTACACCAATTTAGCGTTAGTGCAACTCATTTGTGTTATTCAACACCTTATGTGGAGCTCCCAGCTTTGTCTATGAACTTGGAGCTTTGCCGATGGTTGTAGACTTTCTTCCAATTGTAGTGCCAGATTGACGAAAATTGGCCGAGTCTCTTTTAGTTTCCTGCTATCCATGAAGACACAATGACTCAAAAGAAAAGTATTCAGGTCAGCTTACTCTTAACAAATTCAATTAAATCAATCACCCATAAAAATGTAAAATTGAATAAATTTCTTCATTAAATTGGAGGCAAACCAAATTTGGCATAAAAGCATGGGTGAGGATCCTTTGTTTGTCTCCTGACACGAGCACTTTCTAGTCTTACATAAAGTAAAAATATATCCAGTCTAGGTACTTGCTAAACACGTTTCATTTATTCTACTGGCTAAATGTGTTTGTCTTGTCAAAATCGAGTGGGTGAAGTATGATCGTAACGGGGTTTGCCTTACTCTAAGGTGGGTGAAGCATGATGGGTTCCATCATTGTAGCATCTAGACTACTGAAGTACTGAGAAGGCAGAACCATACCGTATGTTTGAGAGCCTTATCCAATGAACTCTTTTGCATCATCCTTCCAAAACCCGAGCTCTCATTAATCGAACTATTCAATCTCAGCTTTGTCGCTCTTTCTTCAATGCTCGACTTTCTAGCATTCATAAACTTGTCCACCATCCTGCTGCCTAAAATCTGTGTTCCATTTCCTGTTTGAATTCTCCCTTTCTGAGCAGTCAAATTCCCATCACCCTCTTGCTTTGGTTCCACTTTCCGACCCCTCGCCACGCTTGGTGAGCACGATTGCCTCCTGGCGTTGGCACTGAATTCAAAGGTTTGGCGATTTGAGAGAGACTGATTCCCAGACCCAGACCGACCCCGTGAGGCAGAAGTTGATCGGTCTGTTATCAGATTAGGTGGTGTTTCAAGAGAAAACCCAGGCATTTGAGCTGGAATAGTGGACCTCACAAGAGGTGACACCCCTCTGCTCTTGGGTTTCGTTTTCGAATCCATTCCCACGCTTTTAGAAATATTTGAAGCGAGGAAATTCGGGTGGCTCTGGCTCACTTTTTGGTACATGGGTTTTGAAGGAGTTGAAACTGAATTTGATTTTTTGATTGGATCAGTACTGCTCAAATGGTTCGTTTTCGGGTTGGTTATTGGTGCTTGTTTCGTGTTTTTTTTTTCGGTTAAGGGAATACTCGGCCTCCCACTCGGCGTTACCGATCTAAGGGGAACTTTCGGTTTTGGAGATCTGGAGATTTTGTTGGTTGGCTTTGCTGCCTCTGCAATGCCTGCAAACTGCACAGAGCCCTCAAATAAGCGGTTATATAACAGATTGATCAACAAACTTCTATGTGAATATCTTGCATAGTGAATTTGGAATAGTTTTAAGGTGTTGGTCGCAATTGTCCTTTGTTTAAAAAAATTGGAGTAGTCTTAGAATTGCTTGTGCTTGCAAGATGGTCCAGGTAAGTAATTTTAATTAAACAATAGGTATGCCATCGAATACAGACCCTGCATGATAGATCTTGCTCTAGACAGAAGTTTAAAAATGGCCCTGTCGAAACATAATAAAGTATACATATGGTATAACTATACCTTTGTTTTAAATTATTATTCTTGAGATTCAAAATTATTTATTAAGGGACTTTAATAATATGTTGTAATGTCATTTGAGTTAAAATTTAGTTTAAAATTTGGTCAGTGTAACATTACTATTTTTAAAAAAGATGTCGCACAATAATAATAGGCATAAGACAATGTTACTTGGACCTAATTTGTTTATCTTATTTGTTAACCTAATTATTTTAGAGGTTTTAGGAGGTCGGTTCTTAGATCCAATAGGATCCCTGTTGAAAAGTCAAAGTAATGACCATAACTAAAACTCTTTAAAAATATAAAAAATAATAAGAATGTCATCACGTAATTAAAACATTTATTCTAAAAATTTAAGTCATTATAATGTACATTCTTTCTCAAAAAACACAAATCGTGAGATAAGTACACCAAAAAAATGATATGTTTTTTACTAACGTGTCCATTAACTGAAAGTTTAAAGGCATATTAAGTTACATTTACTAATAATAAATTGCACTCAATGTATATCTTCAACAGATACATTGACACCAGACGATTGGACATACATCTCTTCCATTAACTACGAAATTAATAACATAATAAAATTATATTTAAACCTCTTCGGTTATCCCATAAAAAATATATCTATAAATAGAGTATCTAAAATTCAGAAAAAAACATGGAAAAAAAATGAAACAATCAAGGCAACAAAAAATATAAACTAACATACAAATGCTTTCAGGTTTTCCAAACGATGCCCATTCAAAAGACAAATTGTCAGAGAAGTACACTAAAATAAGAGCAATGCTGAACCTTATTTATAAATCTAATGATATGACTTCAACACAACTATTAAATTTGTTATGAGTTCCAAAATTAGATGGAGCTCACAACCAATCTAATGGTTGTACATCATTAGGTCCTTAAATAATGTCCCCAATTAAGATCTAAATAGCATTTCGCCTTAAATAAAGATTGTTAATGTATTTTTTTCTTCATAAACATATATTGTCAAACATGTACACTAAAAATACAAATCGTTAGACAAGTATACTAAAACACATATATGTAATGTACCTTTTTTTCCCTAAATACAAATTGTCATTCAAAACTAATAGACAATATAACAACAACCTCAATAACAAACGGGAAAAAAAAGAAGAGAATAAACTAACTATATTTTAATCTAAAACCATGCGATGAGGACAAAATGGGTAATAAAAATTAATAATTAATCAATCCCTTAACATATCCGCCAACATAGGTACTGCATTCAAATTTTTTCAAAGACAGGAGGACCATTTTTTCTACTAAAAATTCAGTAGAACTAAAATTAGTTTACATATTACACGAGAGACGCCAGCCTAATTTACTAATTATTTTATGCCACATATCACAATGGTACTCTATTATTTGTTAGGACCCATAACCAATTCAATGACTATAATGTATTAGGTCAATAAATTAGTTCCGAATAACATTTTTCAAATGCATAACTTAATAAAAAAGTTGTATTTCGATGCACAATCCTTAAAAGTGAAGTAAGATTATCATATCTCATATCTACTATGCACATAAGATTGTTTTTGATCAGGTTGGACCATCTTTCAATTTTCAATCTTATACAATATACAACGGTAAAATAGCAATCACACTAGTATTGGTGATAATAATGTGCTCTAATATATCTAAATTTTAAGAGTAAATATGACAATGTCTAAAACCAAGCTTATAGAGAGGAATATGAACGTACCCTTGAAAGAGGAATGAGTATTGGTATCTCCCGTTGGATGACCATTTCTGGAGCATTTGATTCCATCTCTAGGGATGGAAAAAGAGGTGTCGCAGGTGGGGTTTTTAGCCTTTCACCAATACAAATGATCAGGAAGTTTTATTTATTGATAATTATTAACTTTGAAAAACACGAAAAAGCTAATAGGAAGATTTATTTGTCATAAAAAAAAAAAATCTCAGAGGAAGCTCATTACCAGTCGTAATCATTTTTCTCACTTTCAGTGAGAAACTCTTGTCCTGATCCTTTCTTTGCAGAAGCCATTCTGTAGAGTGCATAGTTTCCTGCATGAAGTTCTAATAGCTTAACAAACTGGTCAATATAGAAGTAATGAAGTATAGTCCTTACGTAAGAAAGAGCTACAGAAATGATCATATTCCATATGATCAGCACGAACCATTTGCCTCAAACTCATCAGAAACAGGCTGAAGAAGACTAATAATTGGTTCTTTTTCACGTTTCTGCATCTCTCGAAACAGAAGAAGATCTTCATCTCTCTCCCTTAAATCTTTAGACGGTGGCCGAGAGATTCTTCTACCACCACCACCATCTCCTCCTCCTCCGTTCATAGTTTCCTTTCTAGTTTTTCTCCCTCTTTTTCCTTTCTGGAAGGCCTTTGGGACGGAGTATAATATGGTTGTAGTAGTCGGCAAATTTGGGAATACGATGGAAAGCATTTATTATCTTATTTTAACAGTGAGAAACTGGGGAGAGTGCCACGTGGAACATTGCCGGCTAGTACTAGGACAAAGCAAAGAAAGGATCAACAGTATCCTTACAGGGAGGAGTATCAGACAGACCAGATTCTTCCGAGGAATAAACCAACCATGGGTGGATTTCACCTCTATCGTCAGCCCGACCCCCTATTGCCCCCTCTCAATCCTCCCCCCTAGGATTTTATAAAAATTACCTATTACTGTATTAAATTAAATAAAATGAAATAAAATAGTTTTATGGAGCAAGTACATAAACCACATGGAATGAATAATTTGATGAGATGAATGTATTGCTATTAAATAATTAAAAATTTAAAAAATTTAGTATAGTCACTTGCGTAGCATATGAGTTCAAAAGAAATTTCTCAATTCAACGGTTTCACGATTGGAGGAGTTATCGACATGTTTTTTAATTTTTTAAATGCCACCTCATAACAGACAACCACTCAAAAAGAACATCTTTGACCAAAGGGGTACATAAAGGTCGTGACAAAGCACCAAAGCCCTGTATGAAACGTCTACAAAAATCAGCATGTCCAATAAACGACTTGACATCCTTTACACATTTAGGGGTAAGGAGGTTTGAAGCAGAGTCGACACAATAGTGTTCTTGGAAAAGTTTGGGCTTTAGACCCCATTTTTAAGGAAGGTTCCAAATTTTTAAATATCATAAATAGATCGTATAAAAAAATTAAATTTATAAGAAAAATTTGGAGGTCGGTCCCCCTTTGTAGACTTATTTGGTGCTAAGTCCATCAATGAAGCTTGTTTAATATTAAGTCCATTTTGATCTTCATTATCTAAAATATTCTCAGTAGTTATATTTAATTTTCTACCAAGAGAATATAAAGAATATATATATACTAGAGAAAGAACTTCTCAACTTATGCATTTCTTAATGTGGTGAATACCTCTTTTTATAGGCCTCAAATCTTGTCATCAATACAATATTATTTTTGGATATAGGTTATAAAATCAAATGCTAACACCTATTAAATTGGTAGGCTAGAGTTCATTCATATTTATATATAATATATTTACAACAAAAATAAAATTTAAAACTAATAACTCATAAATTTTAAGAGTTTGACTAATATTAAAATTATTTTTCATATCTATCTATATATATATATCTATATATACATATATAGAATAAGACTACTTATTTCTCTTTCTCTTTGGTTTTTACTTTATTGGATGAGATGGTGTACAATTTAGATCAAGAATATAAAAAGTTGTTGACTTCCACATCTTAGGGTTTTGAATTTACTTTTACCGAGTAAAACCTTTAAGAAACAAGCTTTTATCATGATTCCTCTCACGAGTGTTTAAGGAAACACTCTAAGATCGAGTGACTGAATTTAATGACTACGTATGTCGACCATTTGGATGAAAAAAGTTTAGATTATAGCATAAATAAGCAAGAGAATAAAAAAATAGATCAAGAGAAGAAACTTTGACAGCCTGATGGGTTTTCGTATTCTTAGTAATGATATGACAAGACTATGACCAGAAAAAATGAAAACCATTGTTTCTAAAACTTGTGAGCATTCACAGTCAAAATGGCAGAAAACCGCATGGTTGCAAAATTATTTATTTCTTTTTTATTTCTGAAATGTTAAATTGTGCTAAAATGTGGTATTGAAACTGATAGTCATTAACCCCCAACCCCCTCCTCTTTTTGTGTAACTCTGAATTTTCTTATCCATGCGTGAAATCAATGGGTGCTTCTGATATGCTGTAGGCCTTTTGAGGTTTCAACACCCTAAAAGCAACTGCATATTATGTTTTTCTTACTCTTGACTTGGTTCTTGCTTCCACTTCCCTTGTCTTTCTATCATGGATTCTTTGTGAATTTCTAATCCGACTTATATCTGATGGACTGCTTCAAGCTCAATCCTCTGCATTCCATGCATAGTCTCTTGAAATCTTTGATATTTCAAGAGATTTTGTAACATTTGTTTCTGTTATTACTTAATTTTCTTCCACGATAATAAGTTTTTTTTTTTCGGCAGCAATTCATCCTTAAATTTCTTTAAAAAAATCTGGGCCTTGCCAACTTTGAGCGTAAAGAGGTTTTTATTGGACAAGCACCTTTATTGCTACTAATTTTTTTCTTTTTAGGGCCGACCCATAGTAAAGCAGATGAAATGCTTGCTTAGGGCCCAAACAAGTGGGGCCCCAAATGATTAAACTAAGAATTATTTGCATTGTGGGCTAAAACTTCTTAAAACAAAAAAGCCCAAAAACAAAAACTAAACCCAGACATATCGGGTGGGTTGAATGGATTAAGATGTCAACCCAAACCCAACACAAGAAAAAAAACCCCCAACTTGAGGCAACCCAAATTAAATTTGGGTTGAAGGTTTTTAATCTAAGTCCAACCAAGGTACAAAACCTCAAACCAGAGCCCACCCAAATTTTAAGATCGGTAAACTCTTCGGTACTGTTTTAGAAAAGCTGTACAAAATAAGTAATCAACTCACCATCTTACGTTCTTTATTGTTCTATCTTCCCTTTGCAGCAATTTATTCCTTGAATTGAGGACTTGGTTCATATGTTGTATATAATTTTGAGTGGGATAACTTTTATGTTTATTTAATTAATTCTCACATCTAGACTTGTCAAAGTTCGAAACGATACAATTAATCGACTAGAATTGAAAAGAATTAAGCAGGTTTGGGTGAGATCTTAACCGATTTGTGTGATAAACGAGTTGACCTGTAAAACACGTTTAATAAACGGATCATGTTCAGGTGAGTTATTTTAATCTATTATCATTTGTTTAAATAAATTTAATATAATAATAAATTAATAATTATTTTAAAAAATTAGGCATATTTTTTTTTAGTGACAGTGACATAAATATATATATATATATATATTATTTTTAGTGATAGCCACATAATTTTTTTTTTAAATTTAGAAACAACCACAAAAATGTAATAATAAATTAAAACTAAGCGGGGTTAAAAGAGTCGTGTCGTATTACCCGTTTATTAAACAGTTCGGTTTGTGTTAAAGTTTTTCACCCATATATTAAATGAGTTATGTATGAGTTTATATGTTTTTTATTCGTTATTCGTTTAATCCGACACGTTTGACACCCCTGCTCACATCAACGGATTAAGATTGATTTGACAAAAAATCAAATATTATATAGACTAAGTTAATGTCAATTAGGAATAATGCAATTTTGCTACGGCAAAAAAAACACATAATAGGTATTGCTTTAAAAAATATTTATCATTACTTTTTCTTATTTCATTATTGGCTATGGTTGTAGAATTAAAAGACATTTCAAATGATTTTGCCACCACATGAATTGAATTGATTTTTAGTTATAGAGGAACAAGTGGT